AGGTGCGCATGATGTATTGCCACGCTTGGAAGCCAGCATCCACCCGAAGTCTGCACGACTTCAATGCGACCTGCACCAGAGGCGAGCAGCACCTCGAAATGACCATAAATGTCAGAAGATGAGCTGCGCGAAATTCCGCCCAGAGTTCAGAGTCGTCTGCGTCCGGCGTATCAACATTGCCGTCGACGAACTTCTTCAATCCGGCGATCTCTAGCTGAGGCTCGATGGATTCAATCCACGTGATCAAGTCGTGTCGACCTTCGAGCAGCTTCGGCACAGCGATCTTGTCCGACGAAAATTTTAAATATCCGTACGCCGGCGCGATGCCTCCGTCTCGACCAGCCGACGCATTAGTTGCCGAACTCGGCCTGACTCCACTCCGCATAGGAGATTGACGTCGACCATCGATGTTGCCGTTCGAGCTGCCTCTAGCCGCAGATGATCGCAGCACTTGCGCTTGCACTCCGCCAACGCTGACATCGGCGGGCCGAATCACTCCGCGAACCCTCGTGCTTCCTCCACCGACGACATTGCCGCCATCACCTTCGTTGTGCACGGGTCGGGGAGAGGCGGACGCGTCGTCCGCTTCTGCACGGGGAGGGGGATGCTCACGCGCCCACTGCGCACGAGTTCCAAGGAGCAGAATCTCCAAGTCCGCCTCGCCGTACCCGCCAGCCTCGTGGCGTGCCCGAACACCAGCCTCTCTCGCCTCCAGGGTATCTTCTACGCCCGTTTCAACGACGGGGTCGACCATGGTGACTAAGACGGCTGCCGGCCTAGGAACAACTTAGGTAATGAACGCAGAAGTCGGCTATGTGAAGGTTCTAACGCGGGGCTGTCCACGCTCACCGCACCATGCGGAGAATACTATTCTACGGGAGAGCTTGAGTAGCGTGGGACACACGGTTAGAGTTCTGGCAGTGATTCTCAGAAGTGAACTTAGTTGCCTTGGTAGAATTCAAGCATAGTTCCACTAGCAAAAGTTGATAGAACAAGATTAGAATACAAGCAAAGAGAACCAAATAGCAGAAGACAGAACCCTGAAGAGAACGTTCCTCGGCATACACTTGACTCTGTCGAGTCAGCAACGGCAGGTGAAACGACAAGCACATGCACCTTTCACCTGAGTTGGCAGTTGCTCAGGTTTTACAACATTCATAGTTGTATACGTTTTTGTAGTTAGCAAAAACGTGTATCAGGTTCTGTTCCTTAGCAGATTCGAATTCTCCTGGGGAGTTCAATTTCCGAGATTACCTGATTGGTCGAAATTTGTTGTTTCGCGATTGGTCGAAAATCGCGTACATTGCAAATTTTGGAGCCAAGTAATTCTGGTCGACCAGAATCGCTCTGCTTGTTGAAACACTCGTCGAACTCAATTCTGTCGACCAGCAATCCGTCGAAACACCAATTCTGCCAATTCCGTCTATCATAAAGGCTCGTCTTCGACGCCGTTTTACTCCCGTCGACGAGCTCCTTCTAGACGAGGACTTTGATCGAGCAGAGGAAACACTTCTACCTCGACCAATTAATCTTGTCGACAAACGACTCGTCGCACACAGATAAAAGTCCCCGAAGTCGCCGATGACCACGAAACGAACACCGTCTTGTTCCGAAATGCATGGTCGACTTCGCCCAAGCGAGGGCGGGGCCTTTTCTCTTCGACAGCTTGATCCAAAAAACGCAGTTGGGGGAAGGTTTCTATTTACCGCCTCCCCCCACTCTGTCGTGCCTGCAGAACGCAGCCGTTATGCGATGAAATGCGGAAAATCTCTCGTGAAAGTGAGCCGCCTTCCACTCGCGAGCTCCTTTGTAGCGCGCTATGCGAAACTTTCCGGAGTTGGAGGTGACCATGTTGCGGGCCACCGCCCGGACGGTGGATTTCGGAAAACGTTACGCGCCCTAACTTTGGTAGCGAGGGAGAAATTTGGATGACTCGGATTGAACAAGATATGACAGGCTCGGACCAGAGTCGGTGCCGAGAAAAGAAAGTTCGGAAGGTGCTGTGGCTCGTATCTCACTTTCGAGCTGTCATCCGGGTTACAGTTTTCGTCCATCTCGTTGAAATTGTAATTAGCTAAGGGTGCGGAAGAACTTGGAATTCTGAGCGGGTTACACAATTTGTAACTTCGTGGTACCAGTCGTCAGCCTCAGGCTTGCGAATACCTCCCAGATTCGCGCGGACTAGACGACCACTGTTTCCGCAGATGGTCGTCCACAATATCTGGAAGTTCGATTTCGGTTCATTCATAACGCAATTTTCGGTGTTTGCGTCTGCGGCCTGAGACGCAACGTGTGACACACGTTGGGTAAGACTGGCTTTGGTATTCCGAATGCATCTTTCCTGATTTCACTTCAAATTCAACCACTTCTTTCTGATTCAGAGTTTCTCTTTCAGTTGCTCTTCCAGCCACCAGACGTTACACACGGAGCAAGTGTTTTATGGGAGCCCAGATGGAAGCAGTCAGCTCTAAGGATGGGATGCGGTTCCTGTGGAGGAGGCTGTCATTGAGAAAAAAGCTTTCGTTTCTGAGCATGGAGCCTCATGAGAGCGTAATGGACTACATACATAGGGCAATGCTCTACAACAGAGAGTTAGAGGCTTTGGGAGGAGCAGAAACTGAGGAAGATATGATATGCTGCATCATTGGTGGGTTGCCGAAGGAGTGGGAGACTGCGAGTATTGTCCTTACTTGCAACCCGCCAACAAGTTTGACCGATTTGATCATGAGGTTGCGGGACTTCGAAGCTATGAAAGCCTACAGAAAAAGCAGGGAAGAAGAGTCCAGGCGTACGGATAGTAAGCCCGAGATGGATAGCGCAGCAGCAGCAAAGGGGAAAAGATGTGGACTCTGCTTTTATCGTGGGAAGAAAGGGCACAAAGCGGCTCACTGCTTTGACAACCCAAACAGCAGCAACTTCAAGGGGAAAAGACAGGCACGGATTCAAATCTCAACAAGGTCTAATAGGTCATACCCGAGCTAGCTAAAGGCTTGCTTTGCATGCAACTGGTCAAACTAGGTGTGGGTTGGTCAAGAAAGAAGCTTCTAGGTTTTCATGTTGTGGTAATGGAGAGGCAGCAGCTTCAGAGGCCGATAGCATTTTGATATGCTAAATGCACAAATAAGAAATTTGAATATCCGACAGCAAAGTGGAGTGTTGTACAATAATAAAGGGTACACAGACCTGCCCTTTCCCCTCTCCCATTCGATTCCCTTGGTTGCTGTGCCCAGTCCAGCACTTCCTCTCACACGCCTCGGCAGTTCCTAGGGCCCTCCCATTCACAACGTTAGAGAACTGCAATCCGTCAAACAAGAATCCGTGCTTTTCTCGCTAAACTCTCCTTACAGCGAAATCTTCGTTCTGCTCTCATCAGATTCAGAACCTCGATGCGACAGCAGTTTGTCATTGGGTGTCGTCATTTCACACCACATTTCCTCCCAGAGGAATTTGAGCAATACATTTCCTGAATCCTGATTCTTTACCTCGGTTTACAGTCGCAAGTCGCTACATTTCCTCGTTAGACAGCAACAAAGTGCGTTTTCCGTGTTGCGCTGTGGGCCCGCCGCGACGCTTGTCCAGATTGTGACATTCAATGTCGCGTTGAACAACACGACTGATAGGAAGGAAGGAAATCTCTTCTGAGTCTCGCTTCTGACCATAGCTTCTGTTAAACTTGGTAGAATAAACATTCGCTCCTTACTTTTCGACAACAACACCGGATCTTTCCACATTTCCTACAGATTGATGTATGTCCGAGTGCAAAACGCTGATGTAAAAGGTAAAACGCTACGTGTTGTCTTGTTACCCGCGCTAGCTCGTCCTGGTGGTATGAGCAATGCCGAGTTCACGATCAGATTAGGAGTTGTTAAGTCCACTAGAAAATCGTGAACGGAGAAGCGCGAATCGGTGGTGTCTTGCTACCTGCGCTAGCTCTGCCTGGTGCGTGAGCATTGCCTTGCATCATGGAGTTCACGATTCGATTCAGGGTGCCGGCTACTTTGTTGAAAATCACGAAAGGTAGCAATCGCGACGCCACTTCACTGACCAGCGGCACCAGTAACAGCAGCATTACCACCAGCAACAATAACAACGGCAGTACCACTGGTAGCAGCAGCAGTCCTGATTCTGTCAACGAGCAAATAACGGCTACGATTACGCAGCCAGCAGCGGCGTCCCACGTGGATTATTCCATAGGCCTTGATCCGCTGAAGCCGCTCCAATCGGCGTTCAACAGGCTGTTCCAGTCCCACCTGCCGCACTGCTGCTTGCCAAGTCAGCAGACACGTCAGCAGCAGGATGACGTGGACAAGGCCGACCAAAGAAATCCCACGGAAGAAGAGAAGCAGGCTGTTCGGTTCATGGCTGTCGGGCAAGTGGTGTACCTATCGCCTGAAGCATCAGCGGAAAAGGCCAAGCTTAAAGCGGGTGCAGTGGTCAAAGTGCTCCCGGTAAAATCCAGGCAGGCAGAGAAGGAAAAACCAGTCTCGGCAGTTGCAGGGGGTAGCAGCAGCAGCAGCAGTGGTGTTGCTTCTGCTCCCGCCTCAGCGCCAACCTCTGGGCCTGCCTCTGCGCCTGCTTCTGTTCCCGCCCCCTTGCATTCCTCTCCGCCTGCCTCGGGGCCTCTCTCCGCGCAGCACGCCCCTGCGACTGGCGGCCACAGCAACACCCTCACCAACACCATCAGGCACGTCAGCAGCAGCAGCAGCAGCAGTCGCGTACGGCCCAGCATTACAAGCCCGCTAGACTACTCACCCATGAGCCGCCCGCACATGGTGCACCACGTGGATGTCAACCTCCCCTGGAACCGCGCCTGCTGCCTCTCACGCATCCTCCACCCCGCCCCCCCCACCACCTACCACACCGCCACCCCCAACGCCCTCCGCCTGCACCTGCAGCAGCCTGTGAGTGAGAAAATCAACCCCTGCCCAGCCAGCCACAACCGGCCGTCCCAGGCTATCCTAGCGTATTCCGCGACGGTTAGAGTGCCGAGCGCCTGGAGTATGACTGGTCCGGGAGTGGGGCGAGGGGGGAGCAGCCGCACTGCGCTTGCCGCTGCTGCTGCTCGTGGCGGTGGTGGCAGCGGTGGGGGTCTTTCCAGGTTTGACGTTCCCTCAGGGCCTCCTGCCGCGCAGTTCAAGTGGAAGGCGGATTTCGCGCCCATGCCTGCAGCCGAGGGGATGCTCCTCGAGTGGATGGCAGAGCCACGTGTCGGGCTGCTGTTGGACCTGGATGTGGTCAGGTGCCAGCTGGCACAAGCAGACGTTATGAGGATTCGCGATCTGGCTGATGCAAGTGGTGGTGCTACAACCGCTGCTGCTACAGCCGCTCGAGCGACCACCTCTCGTGCTTCCACAGCCACTGGTGCTACAGCCGGTGGTGGTGGTGGTGGTGCTACAGCCGGTGGTGGTGGTGGTGCGGCCAAGCCCTTCTTCTGGTGGTGCTGCTGGCAGTGCAGCGCGTGCTGGGCCGCCTACCGCCGCTGCCTCGCTATGGTCGTATTCCTCGTGCTTATAGCGAGGCTTCCCCGTGCAGTCACACTCTGGCGCCTGCACATGAGGTCCTGCTACAATGTCTTCCCCGCCCTGGCGAATCTGCTGAACGCGGGGAGGCAGATCGAGGGGGCGGGGGTCAGGCAGGCGGAGCGGCAGGCGAGTAGGCAGGCGGGGAAGGGGGGAGGGAAGCAGGCGAGTGGAAATGCGGAGGAGGATTGCTTTGGATCGATTCTGGTGCAGGTGCTTGGGGTGAAAGGGAAGAGGGAACTGGAGTCGGGCTTTGCTGCTCATGTGCTGCCGCTTCTGCCGGGGGGGAGACGGGCGCATGGGGGTATGAGAGGGGGGCGGGGAGTGGAGGAGGGGGAGGTGGAGGAGGAGGAGGGACTGGTTCGGTGAAAGGAGCGGAGTGGAGGGAGGGGTTGAGAGGGGTGGAGTGGGATGAGTATGTGGAGCGCATGGGGGAGATTATCTCCCATGGAGGGCTGGAGGCTGAACAGTACCGGTGCAGCTGCAGGCAGTGCGGAGGAGAACACGAGGGTGCAGGGGGGAGCGGGGATAGTGCTGCTGGTAATGGTGGTGGTACTGCGAGTGGCATGGTCATAACTGGTGTTGACCCGACTGACTTGGCTCTCCGGGCTGCGTTTGCACTCTCTGCGCCACGCTTTGCCATCTACGGCGTTATGGCGTTTACCGGGGCGTGCAGTAACAGGTACAAAGATCGCGTGGAGGACGCTGTTGTTGAGGCAGCCAGGCAGAGGCTGGCAGAAAAAGCAGAGAGGGCGGAGAGGGCAGAGGAGAGGGCAGAGGAGTCTGGAAAGGGGAGTGTGGTGGAGGGGGGAGGAGGAGTCAACACTGAGAAAAAAGTGGAAGATCAAGAACAAGAATCAGAGAGGCCAGCAGCAGCAGGAGGAGGAGCAGCAGTAGCAGAAGCAGTTTCCTCCCCTTTTCCCCGTCCTTCTCCTCCTGCTCCATCTGCTGCTCCTCCTGCTGCTGCTGCCACCAGTGCAGCAAGCAGTGCTGCCCGCCTCGTGCCAGTCATCAGTGACCCAGCAGTGGCACTCTTCACGTACCGAGCCGCATGTATCATTCAGTGGATGCGCGTTCAAGGCCCCAGGCTCAACCCCCCCAGCTACTGCACCCGAACCAACCCCGAAGCCCCAGCCCTGGCGCTCCCGCACCCGGCGCACGATCTCCCGAGCCTGCTGGTCAGGTTCGGCGCCATCCCCAAGCCGGTGAGCGCGGCAAAAGTTTTGGCGGGTTGTGGAGGAGGGGTTCCGGGGTGGGAGGAGTTTCCAGAGGGCGACAGAGATGCTCTGAAGGCGCATGGCCGTGGCAGTGCCCTGGGAGGCACGGAAGGGGTAGGAGGGGTAGAAAAGGGAACTCCAGGGTCTGTGAATGGGGAGTTTTTGGGGGTAAATACCTTCCAGACAGGCAGTTTCCGGGATGATGTGTTTGACCGAGAGGAGATGCTGAAGGAATTCAATGTGGGGGCTGCACAGGGTCTGCAGGAGAATGGAGCAGTGAGAAGCGCAGACACCACAAGCGCAGCAGAGGGCGTGCAGGAGTATGGAGCTGCCAGGGCTCTGAGTGACAGCAGCACGCACACTCCCGCATTTCCGACCCTCGCGGACCGCGTCGAGGAGTTTCTGAGAAGGTTCTCGCCGAAGCGGCAGGCGAAGGAGGGGCGTGGCGGGCCGCTGGCACGAGCGATCACCGACTGGGTGCTGCGACTCCACCTGACAGCTGCAGAGACTAGCAGCAGTGGTGTCAGCAGCAGCAGCAGCAGCGGCAGCAGCAGCAGCAGCAGCAGCAGCAGCAGCACTAGCAGGGGGGCAAAGGGAGAGAAAAGGGATATGAGCTGGGCGGCGCTGGCCCTGGGGGCGTATTCCCCGGGCAAGTTAAAGCCCATGCTGAGATCCCCTCAAGAGGTGGATGCGTTTCTGGAGTTCATGGCGGCCATGACCACCCTCACGCCCGCCTGCAACGCCTGCATGGAGTGTCTCAACGTGTTCAACCGCTCCATCACCCCCGCCGCCATTGTTGCCTCCTTCGCCTTCCGCCCCTCCTCGGCGCTCCTGCGCTGCTTCCTCTCAGTCTACTGCCAGCACTCCTCTCAGGTGAGAGTTCTCCCGGACAGTTAGAGAGGGCGATGGCTGGTGGTACACCACCTGGGTGTTTTGTAATATATCAGATAAGCCATCAAGCTAGATAGAATGTCCATCGTCGGTGCTCCTGCGCTGCTTCCTCTCAGTCTACTGCCAGCACTCCTCTCAGGTGAGAGTTCTCCCGGACAGTTAGAGAGGGCGATGGCTGGTGGTGCACCACCTGGGTGTTTTTGTAAGACGATGGATTGACAGCTAGAGAGCTGGATTGACAGTTGGAGATGACAGCCATAAAGCTAGATTGACAGTTGGAGACGGCGATGGCTGGTGGTACACCACCTGGGTGTAATGGAGCCCCAGGTTGGAGCCATTGTAACGAGCTGACTTTTCTCCCAGACAGTTAAGGAGGGCGATGGCTGGTGGTGCACCACCGGGGTGTTTTGTAATATAACGGATAAGCCATCAAGCTAGATAGGGTGTCCCTCGTCGGTGCTCCTGCGCTGCTTCCTCTCACTCTACTGCCAGCACTCCCCTCAGGTGAGAGTGCCCCTATACAGATAGAGATATGGCTCGTACGCTATCCTGGTGTTTCGTATTTCGATAGATGAGTCATCAAGTTAGATCAAATGTCCCTCGTTGGTTCTTCTCCCCTGCATCCTCTCGCTCTCTATTGCGCGCACATCCTTCAGGTGAGAGTTCCCCTAGACCATGGCTGGTACGCCGTCTGGGTGTTTTGTAGTATGATGAATAAGCCATGAAAGCTTTGTTAAATGTCCCTCGTTTGGTGCTTCTACACTGCACCCTCTTGCTCTACCTCACTCGCTCCCTATGCCCACACCCCCCTCAGAGGAGGGAGCTCCTGGACACGCTCGGGATCCCCCCCTTGCCGGACCTGCTCCCGGACCGGCTCGTGGCTCCTCTTCTCGAAGGCGTGCTGGAGCACAAGCGCCTGCACTTCCTCTACACCGCAGCTTGTGTTTTTGTCTTTTGCAGGCGGCTTGAAGATATAATGCCCCCCTGTCTGTCTCCTCTGTCCTTCTCCCCTCCCTCTCCCTCTCCCTCCACCACCCACCTCTCCTCAGAGGAGGGAGCTCCTGGACACGCTCGGGATCCCCCCCTTGCCGGACCTGCTCCCGGACCGGCTCGTGCCTCCTCTGCTCGAAGGCGTGGTGGAGCACAAGCGCCTGCACTTCCTCTACACCGCATCCATGCTTCTGTACTGGAACAACGGCGAGATGCAACTCATGGAGAGGAGCAAACCAGATGGGGCGCTGAGGACGGAAGAGGAGCTGAGGGAGTTGGAGGGGAGCGGGTGGGAGGGGAAGGAGGAGTGGCTGATCCGGGAGGAGGTGGACACGTGGCGCAACGCGCTGTTCCGTCGTGGCCTGTCTTTGAGCTTTCACGTGAGGCGGCGCTTAGCTGGGCGTGGACTGGGGAGGAGGAGAGGGTGAGGGACTGGTGTGTGGAGATCAGGCAGAAGGAGAGGGAGTGTGAGAAGATCAGTAGGTGGAAGGAGAGGGTTCTAGTGGATAAGATGCTTGCTGCTGCTGCTGGTACAGCTGGCCCCGCTGCTGCTGGGGGTGAGAGTGAGGTGGGAGGCGGCCTGAAACTCGCGCCTGCATACCTGGTGCCGTGGGTGGGGGAGGTGAACCCGTTTGTATGCCTGCGGGAGATGCTGCTGGGGGAGTCGTGCTACTGGGAGCTCTCGAACGGGCGGCGGGTTGGGGTGATACCTGGTGCAGGTTCATCTGCTGCTTCCGCTGCTGCATCAGGCACAAGAGCACCAACAGCAGCAGGTGGAAGTGCAGCAGCAGTGCTAGCAGCAGGGGTGCGTTGCTGTGCCTTCCCAGGGTGTGGCAGGGCAGAGGGGCCAGGGAGGCCGCCATTGAAGGCTTGCTCGCGGTGCGGCCAGGCTGCTTACTGTGGCAGGGAGTGCCAGAAGGCCCACTGGAAGGTGCACAAGCTGCAGTGCCAGCCCAAGTGATAGCCAGGCGGCCAGAATGCTGGGGAAGCATTCTGAACTGTTGCGCGCTTGCTCGCGGTGCAGCCAAGCTGCCTGCTGTGACAGGGACTGCCAGCTCGCCCACTGGAAGGTGCACAAGGTGCCAGCGCAAGGGGTAGGATGGGGAAGGAGATGTGTTGAACACGTGTGGCGAAACAGAAATGTGGATGGTGCTCTATGCTGCCAGAGGACAGGTCAGGACGGGAGGGGGAAGGGAGGAGTGGGAGACTGTGAGGATTGTCCTTACTTGCAACCCGCCGACGAGTTTGGGCGAGCTGATGGTGAAATTTCAAGATTTAGAAACCATGGAAGCTTACAGCAAAAGCAGGGAAGAAGCTGCCAGGCGTTCGCATAATGGCAAGCCATCGACGTAGAATGCATCAGCAGCAAGGGAGAAATGACATGGACTCTGTTTGTATCGTGGGAAGAAAAGGGTATGAAGAGGCTCATTGCTTTGTGAACCTGAATAGCAGCAACTTCAAGGGGAGAAGACAATATTTCCACATTGCAGCAATTGCGGGTATGATGGGCATTCAGAAACAGGTTGCCCTTGTCATGAATAGCATTTTGATATGACTTCAAAAGCCAATGCACTTGATAGACTAAGAAGCACAAAGTAGAAATGAAACATCCCTGTCCGAAAACAATGTTCCCACTGGATGAGAATGGAATGTACGATAGTATGCAGGAGTGTAATACGGTATCAAAGGGTACACAAGGAAGCTCTCCCCTCCCTTCCCGCTTTGTTGGACACCCTTGACAACAATGTTATCCTGCTGTTGACTATCTCTCTCACGCATTTCTCACTGACACAGCTCGGCAACTCCAAGGGGGTCTACAGGGCCAACATCATAGGCATGCAAAATAGTCTGGTAACCCTATGCAATTGTATGCAAAACCGTCGATACCCCAGTCCTGCTGCGCAAATTTGTCTGGTACTGCCACTCGAAAACACTGTGTAACAGCTGACGTAGCACAAAAGGGGAGAAATCGATTGCGTTTTCGATTTCGTTTCTTAGTGGTTCTTACCGCGCGCTGTTTGGCGCCTAACAACGATTTTTGCGGGCAACAATTTTCCGCTAAATGTGCACGATACATTTAGCGGGAAATTCTGTTGGAATGAAAGTATACGACGACGACGCTACTGGGAACTGTTAGGGCAGGGCCGGAAAACATAAAACCCATAGGGACCTGGACGCATTTTCGGGAGGGATCAACCCTAAACACGGGAAATGGCATTGTTTTTAGGGTTGATGCCTCCCCGAGTCGCATCCCTTTCCGATTGGGTTTTATTTTTTTCTTGGGTCAGGTAGTGAACAGTGTTGCTAATCTGGCGAAAACAGTTGCCCGAAGAAATCAAAGTTTAGCGCAAAACCAAGCGCGGAGGAAATAAGTGTTCAAGTTAAATAAAAACGCGTTAACAGGTAAATAAGTAATTACCTCCGAAATGAGGTATCGACGGTTTTGCATACAATTGCATAGGGTTACCATACTATTTTGCATGCCTATGATGTTGGCCCGGGTCTACAACACCATCCCATCCCCACTTGAGAATTTGGAACCTTCAAAAACACGAATTCGTCCTTTTCCCGCCAAACCTCTCTCTTCAACGAGATCTCCATTCCGCTCTCATCAGTTCGGTTCCTGAATGCCGATTCTTTGCCTTGGTTTACAGCATCAGTGAGTCGCTATTTTTTTTTTCCGTAGACAACAACGCACTGAGTTTTTCGCGTTGCGCAGTGGGCCCGCCTTTCATGCTGAATGTAATCATCAACACAACGACTGATAGGACGAGCATCGCTTCTGGGTCTCGCTAGTTCTACTTGGTGGCAGTAGCATTCGTATCTTTCCACATCTCCCACTCGCTCCGAATTGATGAATGTCCTGAGGGCGATACAAAATTCCTACCTAAACTGCTGATGGAAACGGAAAAGAGTGGCTTGGTTTCTTGCTACCCGGTTACTTGGTGGCTTGAGCCTGGTGCTTGAGCAATGCCTTGTATCATGGAGTTCACGATTCGATTTAGAGTCGTAAAGTCTAGTTGAAAAACAGAAACGAGGAGAGCGAATCGGAGGAGTCTTGCTATGTACACTAGCTCTGCCCGGTGCTTGAGCATTGCTTTGTATCATGGAGTTCACGATTCGGTTTAGGGTGCCGGCCACTTTGCTTAGAAACACTTGTAGCAATGGCGACGCCACTTCCTTACCCAGCGGCATCAATACCAGCAGCATTACCACCACAAGCAACAGTAGCGGTAGTACCAATACGCAGCCAGTAGCGTCTTCCCACGTGGATTATCCCGTGTCCGTTGATCCGCAGGAGCCACTCCAATCGGCGTTCAACAGGCTGTTCCAATCCCACCTGCGGCACTGCTGCCTGCCGAGTCAGCAGACACGTCAGCAGCAGGATGACGTGGATAAGGCCGACCAAAAGGATCCGACAGAAGAAGAGAAGCAGGCTGTTCGGTTTATGGCTGTCGGGCAAGTGGTGTACCTATCGCCTGAAGCATCACCGGAAAAGGTCAAGCTTAAAGCGGGTAGCGTGGTCAAAGCGCTTCCGGTAAGATCGAGGGAGGCGGGGGGAAAGGGAAAACCAGATTCGGGAGTTACCGCCACGGGTAGCAGCAGCAGCAGAGTTGTTGCGAATCACACACCCGCCTCTGCGCCTGCTTCTGCGCCTGGCTCTGCGCCTGCCTCCGCGCCTGTCTCGGCGCACCCGGCCCCTGCGACTGGCGGCAACAGCAAACCCGTCACCAACACCGGCAGGCGCGGCAGCAGCAGCCGTCGCATCCGACCCAGTATCACGAGCCCGCTAGACTACGAACCGATCTCCCGCCCGCACATGGTGCACCACGTGGATGTCAACCTCCCCTGGAACCACTCCCTCTGCGCCTGCTGCCTCTCGCGCATCCTCCACCCCGCCACCCCCACCACCTACCAAACCTCAACCCCAAACGCCCTCCGCCTGCACCTGCAGCAGCCGGTGGATGGGAGCATCAAGCCGTGCCCAGCCAGCAACAACCGGCCGTCCCAAGCCATCCTTGCATATTCCGCCACGGTTAGAGTGCAGAGCCTCTGGGCTACCATGGGCCCGGGTGTGGGGCGCGGGGGGAGCGGGCGCACTGCGCTTGCCGCGGCTGCTGCTCGTGCTTCTAGGGTTGACATTTCCTCAGGGCCTCCTGCCGTGCAGTTCAAGTGGAAAGCGGATATTGCGCCCATGCCCGCGGCCGAGGGGATGTTTCTCGAGTGGATGGCAGAGCCACGTGTCGGGCTGCTGTTGGACCTGGATGTGGTCAGATCCCAGCTGGCAGATATGATGAAAATTCACGATCTGGTAGCAGCAAGTGGTGGTGCTACAGCCGGTGGTGGTGCTACAGCCGGTGGTGGTGCTCCCAAGCACTTCTGGTGGTGCTGCTGGCAGTGCAGCGCGTGTTGGACCGCCTACCGCCGCTGCCTCTCTGTTGTCGTCTTCCTCGTGCTTGTAGCGAGGCTTCCTCGTATAGTCACGCTCTGGCGCCTGCACATGAAGTCCTGCTACGTGGCCTTCCCAGCTCTGGTGAATCAGCTGAACGCGGGGAGGCAGATCGGGGGGGTGGGGGGCAGGCAGGCGGAACGGCAGGCGAGTAGGCAGGCGGGGAAGGGGGGAGGGAGGCAGGTGGGTGGGGAAGCGGAGGAGGATTGCTTTGGATCGATCCTGGTGCAGCTGCTTGGAGTGAAAGGGAAGAAGGAACTGGAGTCGGGCTTTGCTGCTCATGTGCTGCCGCTGCTGCCAGGGGGAAGACGGGCGCACGGAGGTATGAGAGGGGGGGCGGGGAGAGGAGGGGGAGTAGGAGGAGGGATTGGCTGGGAGGAAGGGGGAGAGGAGTGGAGGGAGGGGTTGAGAGGGGTGGAGTGGGATGAGTATGTGGAGCGTGTGGGGAAGATTATCTCCCATGGAGGGCTGGAGGCTGAACAGTACCGGTGCAGCTGCAGGCAGTGCGGAGAAAACGAGGATGCATGGGGGAGTGAGGATGGGGGCAGCAGGCATCAAGGCAATGGCACGGCTGCTGCTAGTGGTGCTGGTACTGGTGCTGCTGGCAGTGGTGGTGCTGCTGGCAGTGGTGGTGGTCCCGGCAGTGGCATGGTCATAACTGGCGTTGACCCGACTGACTTTGCTCTCCGGGCCGCCCTGACGCTCTGTGTGCCGCGCGCTGCGGTCTATGGCGTGCAGGCGTTTACCGATGCATGCAATAACAGGTACAAGGAGCGCGTGGAGGACGCTGCTGTGGAGGCAGCCAGGCAACGGCTGGCAGAGAGGGCAGAAGGGGGAGAGGGGGCAGCAGGGCAGAAGCCGACAGAGGGGCATGGAGAGCAGGAGGGTGGGGGGGAGAGGAACAGAGAGGAAGGCGAAAGGACAGGGGCGGGAGGAGCCGCAGCAGGAGCTGCTAGCACTACTGGTGGTGCCGGCACTACTGCTGCTAGCACTGCTGCTAATTCTCGTCTCGTGCCAGTCATAAGTGACCCAGCAGTGGCACTCTTCACGTACCGTGCCGCCTGCCTCCTTCAATGGGTGCGAGTGTATGGCCCCAGGCTCAACCCCCCCAGCTACTGCACCCGCACCAACCCGGAAGCCCCAGCCCTGGCGCTCCCGCACCCAGTGCATGAGCTCCCGAGCCTCCTGGTCAGGTTCGGCGCCATTCCCAAGCCTGTGGGCGCGGCAGGTGTGGAAGGCTCAGCCACTAGTTGTGTTCCGGGGTGGGAGGAATTTCCAGCGGGGAACAGAGGGATGCTGAAGGCGCATGAACGTGCATGTGGAGGCCCGGTTGGGGCAGGGGGGGAGGGGGCAGGGGGAGAGGGGGCAGGGGGAGAAGGGGGTGAGTTCTTGGGATTGAATACCTTTCAAACAGGCAGCTTCCGGGACTCTGTGTTCGACCGAGATGAGATGCTGAAAGAATTCAACATTGGATCAGCCAAGAGTCTGCAGGAGAGGGGGATTGCCACGAGCCCAGTAGGGGACGTGCAGGAGTATGGAGCTGCCAAGGCTCTGAGTGACAGCAGCACACTCTCTCCCGCGTTCCCGACCCTCGCAGACCGGGTCGAGGAGTTTCTGAGAAGGTTCTCGCCGAAGCGGCAAGCGAAGGAGGGGCGCGGGGGGCCGCTGGCCCGAGCAATCACCGACTGGGTGCTGCGACTCCAGCTGGTGGGGGCAGAGACTAGCAGCAGCGGTGGCAGCAGCAGCAGGGGGGCAGAAGGAGAGAGGAGGGATATGAGCTGGGCGGCGCTGGCCCTGGGGGCGTATTCCCCGGCCAAGTTAAAGCCCATGCTGAGATCCGCTCAGGAGGTGGACGCTTTTGTGGAGTTTATGGTAGAAATGACGAACCTCACCCCCGCCTGCAATTGCTGCCACATGTGCTTTAACATGTTCAACCAGGCCGTTACCCCCGCCGCCCTTGTTGCCTCGTTCGCCTTCCGCCCCTCCTCGGTGGTCCTGCGCTGCATGCTCTCTCTCTACCGCCCACGCTCCCCTCAGGTGAGGGACCTCCTAGGCCCTTCGATGTGTGTAAAGCAACTTGAAACTCTTCCTGTTAGTGCCCCTCGTCAGTGCTCCTCCGCTCCGTGCTCTCTCTCTACCGCCCGCGCTCCCCTCAGGTGAGAGTTCTCCTAGAGTTCTCTTCAGATAGAGGGGCCTCCTAGACCCTTTGGATGTTTAATAACGGTGACTGATAATTCATTAACGTTGGATAGAATGCCCTTCGTCCTTGCTGCTCCGCTGCATGCTCGTTCTCTACCACCCACGCTCCCCTCAGGTGAGAGTCCTCCTAGGCCCTTCGATGTATCCTTCTCCTCTATCCTTCTCCTCTATCCTTCTCCTCTATCCTTCTCCTCTATCCTTCTCCTCTGTCCTTCTCCTCTATCCTTCTCCTCTCTCCTTCTCCTCTCTCCTTCTCATCTTTCATTCTCCTCTCTCCTTCTCATCTTTCATTCTCCTCTCTCCTTCTCATCCTTCATTCTCCTCTCTCCTTCTCATCTTTCATTCTCCTCTCTCCTTCTCATCCTTCATTCTCCTCTCTCCTTCTCATCTTTCATTCTCCTCTCTCCTTCTCATCCTTCATTCTCCTCTCTCCTTCTCATGTTTCATTCTCCTCTCTCCTTCTCATCCTTCATTCTCCTCTCTCCTTCTCATCTTTCATTCTCCTCTCTCCTTCTCATCCTTCATTCTCCTCTCTCCTTCTCATCTTTCATTCTCCTCTCTCCTTCTCATCCTTCATTCTCCTCTCTCCTTCTCCTCTCTCCTTCTCCTCTCTCCTTCTCCTCCTTCATTCTCCTCTCTCCTTCTCATCCTTCATTCTCCTCTCTCCTTCTCATCCTTCATTCTCCTCTCTCCTTCTCATCTTTCACTCTCCTCTCTCCTTCTCATCCTTCACTCTCCTCTCTCCTTCTCATCTTTCATTCTCCTCTCTCCTTCTCATCCTTCATTCTCCTCTCTCCTTCTCATCCTTCATTCTCCTCCCTCCTTCTCATCCTTCATTCTCCTCTCTCCTTCTCATCCTTCATTCTCCTCTCTCCTTCTCATCTTTCATTCTCCTCTCTCCTTCTCATCCTTCATTCTCCTCTCTCCTTCTCATCTTTCATTCTCCTCTCTCCTTCTCATCCTTCATTCTCCTCTCTCCTTCTCATGTTTCATTCTCCTCTCTCCTTCTCATCCTTCATTCTCCTCTCTCCTTCTCATCTTTCATTCTCCTCTCTCCTTCTCATCCTTCATTCTCCTCTCTCCTTCTCATCTTTCATTCTCCTCTCTCCTTCTCATCCTTCATTCTCCTCTCTCCTTCTCCTCTCTCCTTCTCCTCTCTCCTTCTCATCCTTCATTCTCCTCTCTCCTTCTCATCCTTCATTCTCCTCTCTCCTTCTCATCCTTCATTCTCCTCTCTCCTTCTCATCTTTCACTCTCCTCTCTCCTTCTCATCCTTCACTCTCCTCTCTCCTTCTCATCTTTCATTCTCCTCTCTCCTTCTCATCCTTCATTCTCCTCTTTCCTTCTCATCCTTCATTCTCCTCTCTCCTTCTCATCCTTCATTCTCCTCTCTCCTTCTCATCCTTCATTCTCCTCTCTCCTTCTCATCTTTCATTCTCCTCTCTCCTTCTCATCCTTCATTCTCCTCTCTCCTTCTCATGTTTCATTCTCCTCTCTCCTTCTCCTCTCTCCTTCTCCTCTCTCCTTCTCATCTTTCATTCTCCTCTCTCCTTCTCATCCTTCATTCTCCACTCTCCTTCTCATCTTTCATTCTCCTCTCTCCTTCTCATCCTTCATTCTCCTCTCTCCTTCTCATCTTTCATTCTCCTCTCTCCTTCTCATCTTTCATTCTCCTCTCTCCTTCTCATCTTTCATTCTCCTCTCTCCTTCTCATCTTTCTTTCTCCTCTCTCCTTCTCATCTTTCATTCTCCTCTCTCCTTCTCATCTTTCATTCTCCTCTCTCCTTCTCATCTTTCATTCTCCTCTCTCCTCCTCATCTTTCATTCTCCTCTCTCCTTCTCATCTTTCATTCTCCTCTGTCCTTCTCATCTTTCATTCTCCTCTCTCCTTCTCATCCTTCATTCTCCTCTCTCCTTCTCATCTTTCATTCTCCTCTCTCCTTCTCATCTTTCATTCTCCTCTCTCCTTCTCATCTTTCATTCTCCTCTCTCCTTCTCATCTTTCTTTCTCCTCTCTCCTTCTCATCTTTCATTCTCCTCTCCTCATCTTTCATTCTCCTCTCTCCTTCTCATCTTTCCTTCTCCTCTCTCCTTCTCATCTTTCATTCTCCTCTCTCCTTCTCATCTTTCTTTCTCCTCTCTCCTCATCTTTCATTCTCCTCTCTCCTTCTCATCTTTCCTTCTCCTCTCTCCTTCTCATCTTTCATTCTCCTCTCTCCTCCTCATCTTTCATTCTCCTCTCTCCTTCTCATCTTTCATTCTCCTCTGTCCTTCTCATCTTTCATTCTCCTCTGTCCTTTCTCATATTTCCTTCTCCTCTCTCCTTCTCCTCTCGCCTTCTCCTCTTGCCTTCTCCTCTGTCCTTCTCCTCTGTCCTTCTCCTCTGTCCTCCCTCCACCGCCCACACTCACCCCTTCAGATGAAAGAGCTCCTAGACACGCTCGGGATCCCGCCCCTGCCGGACCTGGTCCCGGACCGCCTTGTGGCTTCTCTTCTTGAAGGCATAGTTGAGCACAAGCGCCTGCACTTCCTCTACACACAAGGCACCTTGAGAAAAATCATGTTCTTCTGCCCGTCTGCTCTGTCCTTCTCCCTTCTCCCCCTCTCACCCTCCACCGCCCACAAACACCCCCCTCAGATGAAAGAGCTTCTGGACACGCTCGGAATCCCACCCGTCCCGGACCTCGTTCCAGACCGCCTCGTGGCTCCTCTTCTCGAAGGCGTGTTGGAGCACAAGCGCCTGCACTTCCTCTACTCTGCATCCATCCTTCTCTCCCGAGAGGGCGGCATGAAGGATATCATGGAGCTGACTAGAGGAGACGGGGTGGCGAGGAGTGAAGAGGAGTTGAGACAGGTGGAATGGAACGGGTGGGATGGGAAGGAGGAGTGGCTGGTGTGGGAGGAGGTGGACAGCTGGCGGAACGCGGCGTTTAGGGCGTGGCCTGTGGTGGAGCTGATGTATGAGGCGCCGCATAGCTGGGCGGCAACTGGGGAGGAGGAGAGGGTGAGGGATTGTTGTGCGGGGATGAGGCGGAAGGAGAGGGAGTGTGAGGAGATTAGTCGGGGGAAGGAGCGGGCTTTGGTGGATAGAATGGTTGCTGCTGCTGCTACTGCTGGTAGCGCTGGTAGCGCTGCTGCTGCTGCTGCTTCGGGAAGTGAGAGTGCAGTGGGAGGCGGGTTGAAAATCGCGCCCGCGTACCTGGTGCCGTGGGTGGGGGGAGTGAACCCGTTTGCATGCCTGCGGGAGATGCTGCTGGGGGAGACGTGCTACTGGGAGCTCTCAGACGGGCGGAGGGTCGGGGTGACACCTGGGGCAGGCTCATCTGCTGCTGCCCCTGCTGCGTCGGATTCAAGAGCACCCGCAGGAGGATCAGGAGGAGCAGGGGGGGTGCGTTGCTGTGCTTTCCCGGGGTGTGGCAGGGCGGAGAGGCCCGGGAGGCCGCCATTGAAGGCGTGCTCCCGGTGCAACCAGGCTGCCTACTGCGACAGGGACTGCCAGAGGGCCCACTGGAAGGTGCATAAGCTGCAGTGCCAGCCCAAGTGATAGCAGAGGGGAAGGGGAAGGGGAAGGGTTGGGAATAAGTGTGGCTATTCAGAACTGCAAGCGGTCAGGTCTGCCTGGCTGCCTGCTGCAACAGGGACTGCCAGAAGGCCCACTTGGGGGGAGGGAGAAGGGGTTGGGGGGGGAGAGAGGGGGGGGAGGGGGGTAGGAGAGGTTGAGTTTGCAACAGGGACTGCTTGTTGCCACATTTCGGCTTGTAACAGAACTTTGTTAACCTTGCGAGTCAAATAACGTAATCAAAAGAGCTATAACGGGACAAGCAGTAGTGAATGTGATAGTTTTGGTTCTACCTAGACAAATAATATTTGTGCAGAAATGTGATGGTCAAAACGTGCAATTGTGTATGGGGTGTACATTTGTGCACAAGAGTACACTCTATAGTCCAGCTTCCAGCCTTCGGTTGAGAGGAATGAGTGATGAATATTGACGGACTTCGGTGGACCGAGTCGGTGACTGGTGGACTTCAGTGTCGTATCTTGAGTCCGGTTCCGGTCGGTCGGGCATGAGTATCTTGACTGTTGGTGGGGTGTGAGTTCTGGTTCCTTTCGCTTGCTTCGTGACTAGGAATTTGTACAGGTTACACGGGGCGCCGAATGTCGTGATTTCTTCGCTAGCGTGTGGTCCCGCTAATTGTTACGAGGTTCTACGGTTCAAGCTTGAACAGAACCGGTCCCGGAAATGCCCATCCAGCAACGCATTTCGTGGTGGTTGCGTCTGCATGAGGCGCACGTTACGCGAGGCCCTTGAGCATTCCGAATGAATGTGTTCTCATACAGTATTTCAGCACGCACTTGACTTTGTCACTTGAGCCACCTCCCGTGGATTATATCACAGCAGGTTACAACCTCCAGGGCTTTATTTTCCATTCATCCAAACCATCGCTCAAGCTCGTAGTTTACTGAAAGTCCCGGCCAGCAGGCACCACATACGGGAACAACCTTTTGAGGTTTGCGTATATGGAAGCAGATAGTATGAAGGGGGGGATGCTGTTCCAGCAGAGTAAGCTGTTACTGAGGAGGAAGTTGTTATTTCTGAGCATGGAGCCTCATGAGAGCATCATGGACTACGTACATAGGGCGATGCTCTACTACAGCGAATTAAAGGCTATGGGAGCAGCAGAAACTGAAAAAGATGTGATATACTGCATCGTCTCTGGATTGTCGAAGGAGTGGGAGATAGAACGTATCGTCCTTACGTGCACCCGGCCGACAAGCTTGACATATTTGATTGGGAAATTGCGGGATTTAGAAACCATGAAAGCTGACAGCAAAAGAAGGGAAGAAGCTGCCAGGCGTAGAAATAATGCCAAGTCCGAGATGGAGAGTGCATCAGCGGCAAGGGGTATAAGACATGGACTCTGCTTCTATTGTGGGAAGAAAGGGCATAAAGCGGCACGTTGCTTTGACAACCCGAACAGCAGCAACTTCAAGGGGGAGAGACGACATGTATGTATACAAGAATGAAGATTCACGGATCCCACATTGCATTGATTGTGGATATGACGGGCATTCGAGAATGGATTGCCCCACTCCGCACGGGTGATTGACTAGAAACACAGGGAAAATATGCCACAAGTAACTAACCAACTTGGGACTCGATAACGTGAATGGTAAAATAAAAACGCGTACGGTCACTGTATCGGGTTTCCTGACGGGTTTGGTAAGCGGGGTCACGGATTCAGTCACTAACAACAGGTAAGAAATCACGCGAATGGTCACACATGTAACTCCCGCCAAAAAAACTTGAAACTCAACAAAATTCCCGCTCGCGCCCAACCAATCTGCGAACTTGTAAAAAAACTAAAACCCAATCGGAATCGGATGCGGTTTGGGAACGGATCAACCCTAAACACCTGGCGAGTTACGTGTTTAGGGATGACCATCCGAAAATGCATCCAGGTTCTTTTTGAGTTTCATTTTATTTTGGCGGGAGTTTCAGCTGTGACCATTTGCGTTTTTTTATACCAGTTGATTGTGACTGATTCCGTGAAACGCTTTATCAGTCGCGTGAAAACACCCTTTGCAGTGACCGTACCCTTTATTTTTTTACCAAAAATGTTTTCAAGTCCCATGATGGTTACGAATGGCATATTTCCCCAGAAACACCATGGGTGGACGTGCCCTACTTGGTCGACATGCGGCTGTAGATGTCTTAGGAAGCAATACTTTGTTTCGGGTTTTGGCGATGGTCTTTTGATTTTTGAGGTAGTAAGACACTTCTAGGAAGGGTTTATGCATGTCTGTATGCTTGTTGAAATGTAACGAAGCATGATTCAAAAAAAAAAAAAAAAAAAAAAAAAAAAAAAAAAAAAAACACACAAGTTGGAATGAGACACACACACTGTAGATATGACCACTGTTTTCTGGATAAGACTTGGATGTATGACAGCTTGTAATAAAAAGAGTGTTTAGTATAAGTACTAAAGGGTACGCACAGACATCTCTCCACGAATCCACGTCAGCAGCTCCTTGCTGAAGTCAACGTCCCCCCTAAAAGGTTGTTGACAATGAGCTCCTTGCGAGTTAGGTAAACAGATTACTGAAGTACACTCTACAGTCCAGCTTCCAGCCGTCGTATAACAGCCAGCAGCATCTCCTTTCTACTGAGCCGATACTTGACAGCAAGCAACCGTTGCGGCGACAACACCTGCCCCCTGAACTTGCACTGCATCTCACCCTCCCTCTCTAACTCCCCTCCAACCCCAGCACCGTCACCCCCACTGCTACTGCTGCTCCCACCATCAGCACCACTGGCAGCACTACCACTGCGACCACCACCACCACCGCCAGCAGCACTGCTGCTGCTGCTTCCCATACCACCGCTACCGATTCTTTTCGCTCCTGTCCCATCCACCCCTCCGTCGCTTCCCAGAAGCTTCCCTCCCACACGATCCACATCCTGCAGTAGCCACCAATCGTAGTGCGCCGGCGTGGCCATGCCGATCATCAGCTCGCGGCACCGCCTCACTATAAGCAGCTTCACATACTCCGCTGCAGCCACTGCAGCCTCGTCCTCTGCTGCCTTGGCAGCTCTTAATGCTGCTTTTGCTACATCCTCACCGTCCGTTGACCCTGCAGATCTGCCTGAGCTCCCTCCTGTCTGCACCTCCCCATCATCCCCCAATTCATCATCCACCTCATTCCCTGTTGACTCAGTTGACTCGGTTGACCCTTTCCCCCCAACCCCATCACTCCGGCAAGCTATCCTCCATGCCTTGGTTCGGCAACATCTAGGCCAGAGCAAACCTCCTTTCCCCTCACCCCCACCACCCACCCTCCCCCAACCGCCTCCACTCTTCCCATCTTTCCGCCAACCAGGTGGGCACCTCGGAAACGCACCAGCAGGCAGCGTCCGGTTCGGCGCCGAAGCTGCAAACCGAGCCGCCGCGGCAAGCGCGGCGAGCAGGCTCGGATCAACCCTCCCGGCCGGACGAACATCCGGACCTGCCCGGTACGGCAGGATCTCATACCCAAACGAAGCCCAGCTGTTCATTAAATCCCACCAGAGGTTCCTGTCCTGCTCAAACCCCCGAGAAGCATCGTGCGATGAGGGCCGATCAAGGGCCGCACGGGCATGCTTCCACGCCTGAGTGAAGGAGATGCGGGAGCAGGAAGAGACAGCGGCAGAGGCGACGGCGGAGGAGGCGGCGGAGGAGGAGGCGCCGGCGATGGCTGCGACGGTCATGTGGCGCTGGAGGGAGTCAGAGCGGCAGTCCGTGTAGACGCGGTCGAGCAGCCAGCGCACCGAGTCTTCGAAGGAAGGGAAGAGAGCGAGGCTGTCAAAGGGATTGCCGTCCAGAATGAAACCTGGCGGGTAAATGGGGGTCAACAGTGGGGTCAACGCAAGACAATGGGGGGTCAACGCAAGTCAGAGGGAGTCGGAGCGGCAGTCTGTGTAGAATCGGTCGAGCAACCAGCGCACCGAGTCCTCGAAGGAAGGGAAGAGAGCGAGGCTGTCAAAGGGATTGCCGTCCAGAATGAATCCTGCTTGTGCGTGGTGGGGGGAAGGGGGCGGGAGGTCAGAATAAAGCCTGCTCGGACGAGGCAAGGTTAAAGGGCTTAACAGAGATCAGTGAAGGACAATGGTGGTCAATGGGGGTCAACGGGGGTCAATGGGGGATCAATGGAAGTCAACAGAGGTCAAGGCAAGTCAAGAAAAATCAAGGCAGGCCAAGGGAGGCCTGGGAGGTAAAGAGAGATTACCAAAGGTCTGACGGGGCCTCAAGTGCAAGCCGTAAGCTCACTCAATTTAACGGAGTCTGAATTGCAAGCAATTAAGCCTCACTACCACACGGCCAAAGGTATTGAGGCGTCCCAGAGGTTAATACCTGAGCAACTAACAACGTTCACTCACCATAGTAGAGAAAGAGGTTCTCGTTGCTGCGGGGCCCAAACGATGTGAAGAGCTGGTCTCCCTTCTTGGCGGCCCTATCCCCAAATTCCATCAGGTGAAAAACCAACCACATGGAGGCTCAGTTGCAAGCCACCAGGCCCACCCACTAACCATAGTAGAGAAAGAGGTTCTCGTTGCTGCGAGGGCCGAAGGAGGTGAAGAGCTGCTCTCCCTTCTTGGCAGCCCGCTTTAGCCGGATCTCCAACACGCCCTCAGATGAGACAGGCTTTGCCATCCAGTCCATCTGTGAGGGAGGGAAGGGGTGGAGGGCGGGGAGCGACTTTTGATGAGCCTCAAAAGTCGTTTTAGCCGGATCTCCAACACGCCCTCAGATGAGACAGGCTTTGCCATCCAGTCCATCTGTGAGGGAGTGAACGCGGAAGGATGGAAGGTGATGGGATGGTTGGTGTGTTGGGGGATTGGCATTGTGAGTCAGTATCAACCAGTGGTGGGGCATACATACAGGGCAAGATGGGGTGACTTTGAGTCGACTCAAAAGTCACCTCGTCAACAATGTTGGGGGATTGGCATTGTGAGTCAGCATGAACCATCACACACTGTGGTGGGGCATACATACAGGGCAAGATCAG